GCTTCAGTTATAACGGTGCCGAGATAGACTATTATGCGAGTCTGCAAGTTTGCGAGTCATGCGAGTCGTGCGAGTTTTTCACTGTTTCAGCTCTCGCAATGCTTTCTACTCTGTGTTAGTTTATAAATGGTCAAATAATATCTTTTTGATACACAACCCATATATCCTTCTCTTCCCTTATAAGTGATAGCTTATACTTGTAAATATTGAAATAAATTTCGGTTATTTCGGCAGTTTTTATTGAAATTTTCAGCATAATCAACAATACGATACTTACTTCCCATCTCCCCTGCACGCATAATTTAAAAGCTGGTAATGCCTATTGTCCCGTGGGACATCACAAAAACCTTTTTCGCGTTTAACACTTTAACGTCATTGTGAGAAAGGTGCATTGGTTAGGGCATCGAAGTAAAAGATTCTAAATTTGTGATCTTTGAATCGCATCTCGGCCCATTCTCGTTCCCAAAGCCATTTTCACTCGGTCACTCGTTCAAAATTAGGCTCTGGGTTAGACAACTAAAGGGAGAGATCTGATTGGCTTCTCAGAAAACTGCTATTTCGCAGAAGTTGAGCAGTTTTCGGTAGGCAAAATTATCTTCTCAACATAAGTGAACACAAATACTTTGAACATTGTTACGGGTGCTAAAATATCATCCCAATTCAAGAGCATGCGCTTTGGAAATTGCTGCAAGTTTTCTTGCACTTCCGGTTCCGTGTGTCCCAGGGCCTGGGGAGGACGCGCGCGGCCGAGAGGCCCTGGGGACGAGGATGATCTCGGCCGGGAATTTTTACTCTGGTAGTCTGTAGAGGGTAGTCTGGAGCTGCTTTGTTTTGGACCCAAACTTTTCATGTGCTGTTTACATCATATATTGAAATTTTACGATTTAGAATGGGTAATTAAGTTCGGCGCCTGAACTAACACAAATGCGTCTGTCAGTTTGGGTCGTCGAGTCAGTTGGTTTGCCTACATTCGAACTTAGTCCGGCGACTTAAAAGGTGCCACGTACCATTCATAAACGCTGAGACGTTGTTTTCTTGGAATTTGTTATTTCGGGCTCAATCTTACGATCGAAGGCTTGCGTAGCCAATTGGTTTATGTCTGATGCATCCAAGAGAGAGACCATGTATCAACACTATTGCTTAAATTTTTACAACCATTTATTTTAAGGATAATAGTATTTTTGCTGGGTTGCTATGGTAATAGAATAAATTATTTCAGTGAACAGTAGTCTGCGTTAATGCTGGTTCTTTGACATCGATTGATTAAATTGGTCTGGAATATATATCCTATGATTCCTTTCTCAAATCATGAAATGTGCTACCTGTATTTTGGGAAAACATGCATAAATTTTTTGCTACATTTTGATGTAAAACATATTAAACTATTAATAGTCTATATATATTGTAATAGTCTAAATTTACTAGCATTGCACGAAGTCGTACTCGTATTGTAAACAACACTATATAAGGAACTATTGAGGAACTGAACGAAGATTTATGCGAAAATACATTCAATAATCGAATATATAACCATGTATTTGAAATTTATAGTTGAAATTATTAAGAAAAATGATGAGAGTTGCATTGTAATACATAGAAATACAACAATGTCAATGCGTATCGTATTAATTTATAAAGATATTTAGTCTATTTACACACTATATATATTCACTACTCACTAGAACTAGATCTATAAAATATATTATGTCTATATCATATATAGGCCTACATGCGCATTTCAATTAATATTGTGACTGTGTTGTGTCAACTGTCATTGTAAAATTGCTTTCGTTTTTAAATTAAAGAAAAACGCTGCGATTTCAATAGAAATTGTAGACTAATTTACAGGAGAAAAGAGTACAACCAGGTCGGGTTATTAAACACTTCATTTTTTTTGAGAACATTTAAAATTGGTACACTATAGTGTACACTATAGAGTCAGGTCTCACTTATTTTATCACAGCTTGAAAGAGCATCACAAAATTAGTAATATTCCGACGTTTCGAGGCGAAATGTTGTAAAATGCGGATAATATAGCCCTCCGAAATTTGCAATTTTCAGTCATTTTGTATTACAAACGGGAAATTGATGCCCCAACACCCGATTGGGCTGTCAATTTCCCATGCGTAATACAAAATGATCTGAAAACAGCAAATTACGCAAGGCTATATATTATCCGCATTTTACAATATTTCGCAACGAAACTTTGGAATTTTACTAATTTTGTGATGCTCTTTCAAGCGGTGATGAAATTTTTGTCTAGTTCAAAATTTTAGTTTAGTTATAAAGGGAAAGGTCCATTCGAAGGTCTCAGCACTCTGCTGAACCCACAAGCGCATAAAAGCTTGACATAGTAAATTTTGTGCATAAAGAAACTGTTTAAGAAGCAAACCAAGCGCTTTACAAAAATATTTCAATAGGATACTGCGTGAAATGGATACTGTACAACAAAGGAAAACTATGCTATGATCGATGGTTCTAATTTATATAATTATCTATTTTAGTATATATGTAATGATTATATTTTAAACACTTGTCTAAATATCAGAAAGACGAAGCTACAGTATATACAAATATATACCAAACACCGTAGGTTTCTGCGGGTAAACTACTCTTCTTTCCCTGAAATTGACCAATTCCTACACAACACAACTACTTCGGGAGCCACAAAGCAAAAGCCAGGGGCCACAAGTCAATTATAGGGACCCACAGTAAACGACAAAGTATCGATATTGACGTTTTTAAGCGATTGTCACAAGATATACGCTCTAGACATGATAATATAAAACAGATTATCTGTATCTCTGAACGACCATGCAGTTTTCTGTCTATTTTATCACTCGGCTATGAATGCCTAAAATGAAACACAATCAAATTCTAATCGGCCAACGTTTGCACCTAAAATACACGGGGGGGGGGGGTCAACACCCAGGAGGCTCTTTGCTTCGTTACGCTACTGTTTCAATCAAGAAAACATGCTTCTTTTCTGCCAATAACCAGAACCTATGGATATAAGAATTAATATATGATTGCCATTGGTTCATGTAATATATGAAATCCGACTATGTCTATGAGGACTTTACTAGATAGCCGCCAGTCCGCGCAGTAAGTCTCTATACTGTATATACTTAAAGTGAGGTGAATTAATTTTAAACCAGTCCACAGACTGGGTTCATTTTTGTCCAGTCCTAGTCTCAATGTCTCATCATGTGAGCAAAATAATGTGATATGGTTGGCTAATTTACTCATGAACTATTAATGAGATTGTCAAATTTAAGCATAGCCGAGACATTATACAGAAATAGTTTTTGGATCAGTTGAACTGGACTGCAATGCTTGCAATTCAAAACTTTGTTTGGTACCGGTATGAGAAGGTGTATTTCCTCTGGAGCCAACATTCCATCGACCCTTATACAGTTTCAGTGTTTTCTTGTTAAACAGGAACGCCATTCCTACATACAATCCTTGTAAACAAACAAAAACAACAAACAAATAGTCGAACGCTTCTACATCGGGAAACAACACGCCAATGAATGCGAACAGCCAGGGGAAACCGACCAAAGTTGCAAGTTTTGTGCAGATGAGAAGATTCTGTTTTCCTTCTTTGCGTTGTAAGATCTCTCTGTCCTTAGCGTGACGAGATAGACTGACTGCTGTTTGGATAAATTTGTAGATATTATAGAGTAGTAATACTGCCAGGGGTGATAAGAATAAATACAGCTTAGCATTTGCAGTTCCCAACCAACAGTTCATTCCATAATCCACCAGGAACACTTCAGTTTTGTCCAAGGCGACACAAACTGCGACAAATACGGCAGGAGTTAGCCACAGGAATGATGAATACTTGATAAACCTTCGCCACGATGTGTTGGCAGTTCTCCCAACGAAAGGTTGCGATAAAACTTTACATGTGTGATGCGAAATGATGGACATGGCCAAAAAGGATACGTGTAGAAGATAGTGTTCCAGTATTGCTAAGATTTCGCAAAATATTGTTCCTTGAAAATCAGCGGTACGTATCAACCATATGACTTGTGACAGACACATTGAGAAACTCAAGTTCATTAAATTCAATCCTGAAACGGCTCTTAATTCTTTAAATAATCCATAGGTGATCAAAAGTAATATATGGCAAAGTGTTGAAACACTGAAACCAATTATTGTCAGAATTCGCAGTCCATAACTTGTATTGTATTTCGTTTCGGTTTTTGTGAAAGTAGTTTTAAACGGCAAACAAACAGAAATTGTTGAGTTCCACGAGTTTTGAGTTGTATTAGAGATGTTTCTTTTGTTTAATTTTTCACTCATTAGATACTCTCCAAATTTGAAAGTACTATTCGTCGCTTTGTGATAAACTGTCAAATTAGGAAAGATCACGTATTCGTCAGGAGTTAACGGCACGTATGCGCCTTCTTTGCAATCTGAAAGGATCAGTTTACGACATAATGCAATATTTCCGCCAATTTCTTCAACTAAAGTATAATCGCCGAGCAGAAATACTTCCCCCGTTTTACTAACAACGACGCTTCCATTTTCCCGATCAATTTTGTATTCACGTGATTGAAACTTCTTTTTCCCGTAGCACGAAAGTTGTTTTGAAATCACGTTCAAAACAGAGAAGCTGTATTCTTCCCAATCTACTGTAAAATTTCCTGTAAAATTTAAAAGTCCAAAGAATGCAGTGTTTTCACGGGTGATATTAAAATCGTTCTTGTGTTGGTTTGCCATTATTAAGCTTTGGAATGCCGTCAATGTTAACCGAAAGGTTGCAACGAAGTAATCATTCGCTCTGTATTGCTGATGGAATGTAATTGTTGAAATTTGATTGAGCAGAAGCGAAAATTGAGAGGATATCGCTAGGGATAATGCTGATTTGAAATCATCGTCGAGCTTCCAACTTATTTCTCTGCTGTCATTACGCTGTTTTAACCATAACAATATCAAAAACTCGTTGGTTAGTTGTCGACTTGAAGAAATAATATAATATCCCACGCGACAGAACTTTAGGGTAGTGTCATAAACCGATCCATCAGGACATGACTTGGAGACAACAGTAGTTTTTGGGCCACCAGCGTTTCTTAACTTAAAAACAATCGAAAATCCATCTGACTCTACGGGGGGGCTGCACTTCATTCCTGTTGCCCATCTGTAGAGGTTAGGATACCCATTACAAATCGCGCATTCGGTGTTCTTAAAGTAGGCAAAGTCAAAACTAGTGACGACTTCAATCGGGCCTTCAACACAAGCCTTGTAAGAAGTATCGTTTGTTGAACTGCAGTTGTCTATATAATTTCTACCATAACAATATCTTCGAGGTTGTCCCTCCCCGGGCGGAACACTATTAATATATCCCCCATTCGCCAAGATAAACTTCAGCCTAGAATCCAAGTCAAAATCCTCGGGGGGTATAACGTATGCAGTAACTCTAATATTCCATGCGGTATAATTTACCAACCCATTACACAAAGCGCAGTGTTTATTCCGGTACATAAGGGAATTCGCTCCCATTACCGGAATAAAGTCCTCTACGGGGTACGAGAATTCCGATGGGGCATTTTCACATTTTCCCCTCAGCTTGACAAAACTGGTGTTTGCAGGACATTTAGAAATCATCCAAATTCCAGTTGCTCCTGCGAAATCACAGTACACGCTCAAGGGCATCCCAGAGATTTCGATACATTTCCACATCGAAGCAGACTGCTTTATAGTCTCCTTCGATTCCTGTCGCCCGCATTTCGAAACGTAATCCGAACAACAATCTGAAAATATCTCAAAACAAGCGTGGTCGTAGAAGCACTTATTACCCAGTGAAAAACCCATCTTATTCCCAGTGCATCCTTGATAATTCGAATTGCGACGCACTCTCTCGTGGTCCAACCACACCGATTTTTCTGCACGTTTGAATGTACTGATTGACTCATTCGCTTGAGTTGAGCCAAGATTAATGAATATACATGTAAGTAAGAGAAGTAAGCGAAGATAGGACAAGATGACGTCTGGTAAATCCATTTCCCTTTCTTGGCTGAGATTTTACGCTGAACGCATCTCAATATATATACTTAATTAAACTAAGCTGGAGAGCCTTGGTCTTGTGTGGCTAAATTTCAAGACGTTTAACAATTCTCGATTCTCCAAGTTTTAAACCCTTGGTTATCTTCCTTCCATTCTATAACATTCACAGCCATGACATCAAATGTTGCCCTTTAATAGCAGCTTAAAATTTCTTGATTCGTCCGGCATGATAAGGATAAAATTGAAAACCATCAACGGATTGTTCAGCATTTCCGGTTCTGCCATCCTTCATCTGCCTGATCATATTTTCAACATTTCCGTATCCTCAAAATGTTGACATAAACTCTTTCTCGACATATCCCAGATATCGAATTGTATCAGTGCAATAGGACTATTCTATTGACTATTTCATATCTTCGGTTGGGGGAAAAGTACCACCATTTGAATCAATGCAACAATGTCTCCTATAGTTTCTAACGATAGTTTTAGTCAATGTGAAAATTATAGCGATTTATGGTCTTCGAAAGTCAAGCGAGATCGTGTATTATAAAATTACGCAATATTACTCGATGATATAAAGTAGCTATACCTTTCGCCGAACATAACTTTGGCCCCTTGGCGTATCGTCTTCGTCATGGTCTTGTTCGAATCAAAGTCCAAAACACTATTTGGAGTGTCATTTTCGAGCTTGTATCTTCAAATTTGCAACTTTTATTACGGTATTTCCATTTCTGGTCCGACTGTGAGCTAATCCCATGCTATATCCATGGCTAATATCAATCGGAAATACAATTCTAAAACGTCAAACGAATGCGACGTTTGTATCCTATGAGTCTGGAAATGCCAGAAATCGATTCTTAAGGGAAATGGCAATATATTTTTTATTTGTCATTTGAAAAAACTTTTTTTTCTTTTTTTTTTTTTGTTAAACTTTATTGAGTACAAATTAATTCAACAAATATTCATCTAACATACAATTAAAGAGCTGTACTCAAACGGACAAGGCACAAACTGGACGTAAAGTCCATTGCATGGTGCCCCTCCTCTTCCTAACATAGACCTTTTAATTCACAATGTACTGTACAGGGTGTCCCAAAAAAACCAGAACCACTGAAACAACGCACTGCTAGAATCCGAACGCCTCAGCACCAACTGAACGCAAAGATGCGTAAAATATGATCGACATGATGCATGTAATATGAGTATTGAAGAAATTAAAATATCTTTGTAAGCTCACGATTTTCTGCTCTTTGGAATTTAAAGCAACTTCTTAAACAGTTTCTTTATTCGTAAAATTTACTTTTGTCAAGCTTTTAAGTACTATATATAATACTTTTTAGTCTTTTACCGTTTTTTCATATCTTGCTTACCTCTACAAATATTTTGATTGAAAGGAATCAAATGTCCGCCATCTTCAATTTTTGTAGACTGCATGTCGCGTCACAACAGGGGTCACGCAATATTTTTATCTTTACAAGCACAAATCATTTTGCACTCAAAACTATACTTTGTCTGCCATACAAAATATCAACAACGCTCAAAACCTTTAAAACATCTACCAATCAATATTTGGTCAGCAACGAATACTATTAAATGCAGGGGCGTAGCATGACCTTTTTAACTGGGGGGGTGTAACATCTAAGTTTTACCGACCCACGCGCACGAGGCGCCACCAAGGCGCCACCATGGTTGGCGCCGAGCGGAAAATTTTTGAAAATATGGAGTCTCTAGATCGTTGGAAATGGTATTTTCAGAGCCTTCTGTACCTTATACACACAAGGTTTGGTAGCTTTTATTTATATCAAACAAAACCATATTGTTGAAGTTGTGTTATTTTCGAAATCCGTGAGAATCCGTCAGATATTAACAAGCTGTGAGACTGTGAGTGTGAGCTCACCGTGAGGTTTTATTAGAATCCGTGACCGCCCCTTATACGCTACATATAACATATACCATAACAGCTATACAGCAATTGACAAATAAATATTTCGGCGCGCGTTTAATTTAATGACACTTACCGTGACTTTAGTCAGCCGTCTAGAAATAACGTAGAACCAGAAACGTAGCAAACGCTTTATTAATTGGAATAATTGTTGTCTTTGTTACTTCGCGATAAGTCATTTTACCCAATGGCATTTATCTTGTTGTTTATTGTAATGAACAGACTTGAAAAATTGGCGAAACATTTTATGAGCACCGCGTGTCAATAACAAATATATAAATGTAATCTTTAATTCTTTTGCGTATCATTGTATCAAGGTCAAAAGTTCGCGCACAGTTGAACATGTCCAATCAGAACCGACTGTTTTCGCAGCTCTTGCAAGTGTAATACGATAGGAAATTAGGGGCTCCAATGCTTATGCGTAGATATTTAATATAAGTGTTTTAATACTGAAGAATTACGTACATTTTGCATAACTTTATTGGAGAACAAGGCACAACATTAATTTAATTTTTTATTATTATTAAAAGCCATTTACCGAGGAGCAAAATTCCACTTTAACCGATTTGTTTTATCGACCGCTGTCATGGCTCTTGCCATTACCGAATAACTTCGCGTTTTACCGACTACCTCACTAAAACTGGGGGGTGTCACACCCCCCCCCACCCCCCCGCACGCTACGCCCCTGTTTA